AGCAGCAGCTTAGCCAAAGACTGCGATGAAGCGTTCAACAGAACATCTGTCGTTTCTTCAACTACTTCCCAGAACAAATCGCGATTTTCAGAAAATTCAAGCATGGCTTCTCGTGGTCCTTCGCCTATGCTTAATGTACCAGCGAAAAGTCAAACGTTCAGACACGGATCTTTCGACTCACAACCATTACCTCCGCCACCTGCTAGATCGGATTCTGTCAAAAGGGAATTGTTAGAAGCACGCAAGCAGGCTACACTACGCATGGCTTCTGGAGAAGATTCCCCTGGATACATTGATCGTATGGTATCACACATTGATCGTCTCATACTACCTCCATCTACATCCCCGTTGCTTACACGTCAAGATTGCCGCGCAGTTTCTGCACCTGCGGAAGTGAAACAGAAGAATTATGCCCGGCCATTGCCTGCAATTAATGAGGCATATGGAGATGAACTATCCCCTCGAAAAGTCGAAGCTGACCGCATCGCATCAGCTCCTGAAGCTCGTGTATTGAAAAAGAACTCCAAATTTTTCAATGAAAGAGAAACAATCCGATTGGTCAATGCTTCCGCGGCATCTTTTAGTCCTGTTAAAGCTCCAGCGCCTCTTACTATTAGGGAAAAAAGCTCACAAGGAGGTCAAACAAAGGGGCAGTCCGGGCAAGAATCTTTTGACAACTCCCTCAAGAACCAAGCGTCTGGTCAGGGACTACGTCACCAATATTATGCCAGCTCCAAGGCAGATGTTGGACCTGAATTGTCTCGTATTGATGAAGACTCCAATCTGGACGATCCATATGCTCAGGATAGTAACGCGGGAACGATAGTGAAGAAGAGATCAGGTTGGTTTAGACGCAATTCCAAGGCCAGTGATGAAGGTGAATCTAGAAATTCATCGATTATGGGAAATGAAACTCTGTTGTCACAGTTATCAAGCAAGAGTGGTGGTCGAAAGTCAGAACCAGAAGATTTCCCACCGATTCCACCGACAAAAAAGAAGGGGTCCATTCTTGGTAGGCTCTTCAAGAAAAAGCTACCAAAAACCGGCATGACAGTTGCTAGTGAGTAGAATCTAAAATAATTTGATGTTGATGAGACTAACAGGCCGACAGCACATGATATGTTCGACGAGGACATGAGTATTCAAGATTCTATTGCAGATTCCCGACAGCAGAGTCGCCAAACCCGTGTAAATCAGACGACGCGAGCACGTCAGATCGAGCCTCAACAAAACTGGCTAGCCAAGTTGTTCCATGTAAAGCCCGCTTCGAAATTTATCTGCTTCTCCGTTTCGAGACGTACAGCAAGATTGGAGATTGCCAAGGTGCTCAAAGACTGGAAACGATATGGCATTAAAGATGTTCAGGTTGATAAGCTGAGGAATATAGTCTTCGGCAAAGTCGGCTCAGAAAACTGTAAGTTTTGCTTATAAATTCTCTAAAATATTCTACTGACATCAGATAGTTCTAAACTTAAAAGAGGTCTCATTCGCCGCCGAGATACTAACTGTTTTCGAACATCTGGACCGTGGCAGAAAAATAAATCTCGCCGTAGCACGAATCACACAGGAAAGAGGTGCAGCAAGCAGCTTTCATAAAGTTGTAGAGACCTTAGATTCCGTCCTACAAGTTCGTGGAGTTCTCGTCATGGATGAAGAAAAGAAGAGAATGATGGTGAGAACAGTAAACTCGATGATCACCGACACCGTTATTGCTTAAATCCAAGCTCATGGCGTCCGCCAAATTTCGGTACTCTATATCGTTAATAACCCAAATTTGGACATTTGCATATGGGAACGTATCTCTCTACACTCACTCAAGATTGGACACACTCGAAATCCAGGTTTACCACATGGCAGGATTTGGATGATACCTGCTCTTTTTGTAGATATACTATGTTTCACTATAATGAGTTTCTTTGGCATTAGCATAGAGTGGTGGATATTTGAGTTGCGTTGCATGAAGGAGCTGTAAAAAGTAACTTAATATTCTTCACGCAGCAAAAAATGGGGTAGAAATTATGATAGACGGAGGTCAAAAGGCGGTCCGAGTTCAATACCAGAGAGAGATGAGAGAGTGTTAAAGATGATTGATTTTCTTTTTACTTTCGAATAGGGGAAAATGTGTTCTTTTCACTCTTGTACTTAGGAAATCCGAATTCTTTGATTCATGTTGATGGAATATGTTCATGCTTTTAGTGATGTGGCTTGTACAGCTGGTATGTCATGGTGAAATTTTCTCATGGGACATGCAACTCCGTGATGATGGTTTTTCCTCTGGGAATCCCACACACGTATATCTACATAATCGAGAAATCTTGTGCTCGGAAGCTCTCATTCTACTCATCCAGGAGACTTGACAGATGAACAGCTTTGTATTGTTGTTGGGATATCCCAGTTCCCATGATTGAATCGTGGAGTGGATGTTAGATCTATGTGTTTTCGCCACGCATCGAGTGATGTCGTGTTGTGTTGTATTGTGTTACTACGTTTCTTGCACGTAGGTAGGTATTTGATGCCAATCCCGTAATTAGGAAAGAGAGATGCTGATCGTTATGGGATTCTCAACATGATTACCCAGGCACTTAAGTAAATGTTCTTGAGGGTGAGAATCTAGATATCTAATTTCCTCAGCGAAGACACTGTTTTCGAGAACATTTCCTCCATTAATGGACAGTATTTCAACGATCTACGAAGCATTCCACCAAAGTCCACATTCATGCATACTATCCACCCAGGTGTATCTCCACCACGAATTTGCATACTCTAGGTTAATCTAAGCCTTGTAGATCCATTCCATCCCCATAAATGCCTATACATCCCCATACATCCCCATCCCACTTCGTCTCCGCCCAAGAAACGCCACAAGGACCACAAAAACGGTCATCACGGCAATGCAATGCAATGCGGTTCCCCATCCGAGCCTATCAGTGTTGTCCAGCATATGATTTCCAAGGTTGTCTCTGAATCACGCCACATGTGGCGGAGGTTAGTCAAGCCCTGTTGGAACCACAAACAATTTTCCATAAACGACAACATCATTCGGCAGCTTAAACATGAAGTGATCTTCTCACTCAAAAACGACTTTCAAAAGACAATTATGATCCAATTTTCGAGTGGTCTACACATTATCAAGGCAACTTCCCTATTGAAGGTGCTATTCTGGAATTCTTGTGCGTAGAAGACAACAGACTGCGGGTGTTTGGAGTGGGAAAAATTCAAAAAGTCCTGCCGGGTTGATTTTGACTACAACCAAACAATGCAGAACGAGGTTTAAAGAGCTGCCTTGACTTTTTTGGGGTGCTCTTCCTCCCATTTCGCTGCAATGGCTATTTCCTTTTCCTTTCGCTCAACTAACGCGTCGTACAAATCCTTATACACGCCACCGGCCTCGACCAAATTTGCCGGCACTCCTCGGTCGTAATCAAAAAACACCACATAACCTCTGCAGTCAGCTACAATAGCCTGTTGCCGAAGTGACCATATAGATGTCACCCCAAAATAACGATCGGGTAAAACCTCGGTGATATGGTTTGCAACAATAAGCTGGCTTACGATCAGTCTGGAGCTAAAAACATCCTGCGCTAGTAACATACTGAGTCTGGAAATTTCACAACTCTCTTGAGATCAATCGTGTATGTCTTCACCACAACACCGATGTGTTGAGTATCCAAAAGATCCTGGAATCTTTCACCTAGTTGTGCTTCGAACGACTGGAATACTCGAAAGTTGCATTGGTTAACATAATGCGGATATGCATGGTTTTTGACATGTTTGAACGGATCGTGGTCATCGGACCAATTCACACCACATTCTACCATAGTACTGGCATCATAACCCATAGCGATGGCCATATCTACTACCTTCTTACGAAGAAGGGAGTAAGCAGGTCCGCCATCAGGGCTTTGATACGAGGAAGCCTCCAAAGCGGATTTGAATTTCGGGATAGGAGCCATAGACAAAATTAAGATCCTAAATTGAATATGATGCAGATTTGCAGGAGAAGATCATTCCGGAATCTCCTTTTAAATATGCTTTTTCTCTCTCTAATCGAACCTCGGTAGTTTCGTCGGACAACAAGGGTATCAGAGTAAGCAGATATAGCGGCATGCCGCGCCATAATTTGAATGCATGTTCGTGGTAAGGAGTTATTGCTTGCCAGATTAGAAACATACCTGGAAGTACCTTTGTTTGCTTGAGGGGTCAAGGAGATTCCCCCACGTTCTTTTACATCTCGCCCTAGTAATATGAATATGACAGATATCTTTTTGAACGATTCCCGCACTTGGAAAGGGTTTAGGTTTAGATACATTGGCATACTTGGGTCCTCCGGATCTTCGGTACACAATTGTAGCGATTGCTGCTGCGAAAACCAATCGAAAGGTAATCAGACGACTCTATCACCATGGCCAAATCTCAAGTCTGACGGCTGATATTATACAAGGTTCTCTTGATGTCCGTTAAAATCTCTGACGAAGCACAGCTCAAACTACTCGAGACTATAGAGTGTAGGGTCCTCCTAGTTGCGACAGATCTTCCTGTCATCAGTACCTCCTTCAACATGCTGTCACTCCAAGGTAATCTGCGAATCATCCCTTTTGAGGGGGTTGAACATTTGATCGGGCAGTCGATAGTCCTAGAATATCCATTCCTTGGTACTTTGGAAAGTGAACCAAATTGACCCTTTGCGATATTGCATTCGTCAGGATCAACAGGTTTGTCACGTAATGGGAATATTTTAGACGTCATTAAATGGGAATGGCAGGCCTACCAGAGCCTATAGTAAACACTTTTAGAGCTCTCACAACCGATCGCACATGGCTCGACCCCAAGGCGACCATATCTGGAGCACAACGAGTTACAGTTGATTGATGGAAGAACAAAGTTCATTATGTTCCTTTTGCAACCTCTCATGTAAGTACAAAATCCTCTCTACGATTGCCAGTCTGATACTCTTAGATGACCGGCCTACTTATTGCTACGACCCCAATGTCTACTAGAACATGACTCCGATTCTGGGATCAAGTACTCTCTTCACTACACCGGCATTAGCTACTACTATCCATAAGCTAGAAATATGTGACGCGTCTATTTTGCCTCCGTCCCTCCTCGAAGCAATGGCAAAAAACCCTGAATATCTAGAAGGACTCCGAAAACTAGACCATGTCATCTGGTGTGGTTCTGCCTTTAGCTTATCCATCATTTCGAACAAGATAAGTTCTGTGGTCCTGATTTACGCAGCCTACGGTGCCACCGAAGCTGGCCCTCTTCCTCTGGTCTTGGAAGATCAGGAATATCATGAATATATGACTTTCAGCCCGCTTGTTGGCGTGCAGTTTCGAAACTATACGGACGATCTGTATGAGCTTGTCATTGTCAGAGATGACGCCCTGTGTGCCTCTCAGAAGGTATTTTTCATACACCCGCATTTGACCCAGTGGCCGACTAAAGATTTGATGTCCAAACATCCTACTAATGAAGGCATGGTGAGTAAATTGATCTTCTGTAATCAACTCCCTCACAAAAGCATCAGTAATAACTCGCTAATGATGTACCATTCTTCTAGTGGAATTACCGTGGCCGTACAGACGACATCATCGTATTACTAAACGGTGTAAATATTAATCTCTTATTGATGGAAGGAATCCTCATGTCACACCCCAAAGTCGTAGCAGCTCTTCTCACAGGAACAGAAAAGGTAAAAGCTGCCTGGCTAACAGAGGTTGTTCATCCGTCACAGAATGAAGAAGAGACTACTTCCTTGGTAGAAGAACTCTGGCCTGCTGTTATGCCACTTATCGTACGGAAGGCAAGGTTTCCAAAGATAATCTCATCTTCACTTCGAAAGACAAGCCGATGCTGAGAGCTGGAAAAGGATTCGTCCAGCGGAAATTTACACTTGTGGAACTTCGCCTGGAGCTGGATGCCCTGTATAAATGAGGGTATTGTTGTGTTGTAAACAATTAAATAGTCCCAGATCAAATGCTCTACCTCAATTTTTAGAATGTCTGAATGCATAATCCAGACCCATTTTAAAATTTACCCTCGATTTCGGGAATGTCTCTGTTCTGAGTAATTGAAAACTTCATAACCTGAGAGATTTCGTGTATCAATACGCTCTTTCCGGAGCTGGATAACACAGGCGGGAATCTCATCTCAATTCACCTGCAGGTGTTTTATTAGTGAAACCCTTTTACAATCCAGATAATTGGTCTAGATAAAGATGGATTTCCGAGGTTTGACTTAGGGTCTATTGGCCGTGTAGAATATTGTCTCGATTTTATGTCTAGTAGGTAGTAGTATATGATCTACCATTATTTAGTTGTCTATATCCAAAATGAACCTTGTGGAGGAATCCAGGAATGGGAAGCGGGGAGAGGGACAGCAATCCCGCTTCCTTTGTAAGATTACATGGTACGTATGCATCGAAGGGAAGAAATCAGAAATCTCTAAAAATAACCAGTCTATTTGTTCTGAAGTCTAAAGAAATATCGAAGCAAGAAGAAAAGTTGGAAGAATCGAATCAACCAACCTATTCATCTGCTTCCGATGTCCAAAGGCTCTCAAACAATGAGCCGACGACACTGTTCAAAGCATACAATCAGATAAGAAAACTCGGTATCCGCAATCCATTTCACAGTTTTTTTTTCAATCTTCTTTGATATGATGTGATAGATTCTCGGACATAAAAGTAAAATGGTTAAAATCTGATATCGCTAGCTAGCTTGCTCCAAGAAATCGTTCTTCACCCACCCACCCCCCCTTTCCCCGCTAACATCAGAGACCGAACCCCAACCGCAACATGGACGCGCGAGCAAGCGTGTAAGACGCACCCATCACCTATCACCCACATCGTATACTCATCGCCTAACATGGCAAGGAGACGAAAAAGAAGAGAGAAGCGCAAATAAGAGGGAGAAAAGAGGCTTTTCACTCTCCATCCGTTACTCGAATACAGAAGAATAACCATACAAGCAAAAACGCATTCAAAGGTATTTACCGAATTGATTTCCACGCCAAAGCTCCACCCAGGTCCCATTTCGCATTTCGCTTCCCAATGCTATCCCATCGGAGCCAGGTACCCATTCATTTCCGTCCCGCCCAAATCAAGATGTCAGACAGACACATCGACAAATCCGCAACTCCGAAACAAATCCACTCTGATAAGATGATATATTCCACACCAAGGCCCAGATTTTGGGATTTTTTTGTAGAAGAAAAAAAAAGAACAGAAAAACATCTGTCAAAATGCTCAAGGTTTCATGAACATGATCGAAGAGAATCACATAACAACGCCACCAACCTCATCTTCAACTTTCTTAGAGTTCTGGGTTGTCCTATTCGAAAGAAGATGTCCGCCCAGCCATACAGTGTAAGTTGTATCCCACATCATCCTTATCCCTAACCATCCCATCCAACCCCATATCCTCCAGATAGATTCCGAACGCCCATATCCTTTAGTCAAGGCGCCGAATGAATACCCATCCACCAACCCAGGCTTGCACATCGGTTTACGTTAATAGTGTGTGCTTGCCATCTTATTGAAATTTGCATTTCAACAAAAGAAAAGAAAAGAAATCGACAAGTCATGAGGATGGAGTGCCACGCTCCTATGGCAATTCCTTCTTTATCATCTCTGGGCTCTCGTCGTTGGTAGAATCACTTAAGATTTCAGATTTATCGACAGGCGATTGAGAACCTCCATTGTTATTCGTAGCGCCATTTGCAGCCTTTGTTCCGCAGCCTTTGACGAGTATGTGTCTCTGGGAGGGGATTAGTCTGTGATCAAGAATAATAATGCTGGAAAAGGTAAGAAATACGAACCTTTAATGCATCTTTTCTCGAAAAACTCTTTTCACAATGACCACATGGGAATGGCTTCACAGATAAATGAATACGTTTATGACGTTTCAAATCATGATTGCGGTTGAAAGATTGCGGACACTGATCGCATTTAAATGGACGGTCATTTTGAGGCATCGGCTGTGGGTGATGACTGCCATACATTGGCCCTGACATTTGTTGAGGATATCCCATATTGCCCATTCCGCCGAGGAGTGCCATTTGACTACCAGGTTGGTGGACATTCGACATAATAGGTGCGGCCAAGGTGGGGAGATTATAATGTGGGTATGGAGGACGGGAAGGATAGCCTTGGTGAGGTGCGCCCATGGAAGAATGCGAGTGATGAGTTTGGATGGGAGAAATGCGGTTAGAAGGGGCGGAGGAGGTATTGGGAGATTGTTGTGTAGGTGATTGTTGGGCATAGGCGGGGAAATTTGATTGTTGAGGTGTGGATGAGGGGGGGTAGTAATTTGGAGTTGGAGGAGCTCGTCCGCCATAGTTATCGGAAGCTGGCACGTTGCCCTGTTGGGGTGCTTGAGAAGAGGATTGATGAAGGTTCATGAGATTGTGACTGGTCATATGTTGCTGCTGGGAATTTTGTGGTGCAAGAGTGGGGAGATTTTGTTGTTGTCCACCTGAACCAGACATCGGGACTCCGGTAGAGAATGGAGGAAGACTCTCAAAGCTAGGTGGTGGCAATCCTTCTGATGAAGTAGGAGAATGGGGAATTCGTGACCCTGGATAGCTACTCATGGAGGGCGAATATAGTGGTCTACTCATATAACTTTGTTGTTGTTGTTGTTGCTGCTGAGCATAAGGCGCACTCATCGGTGGTGCAGAACTAAATGTGAAGTTGTTTCCCGATTGAGTATTTGGCCAGAAAGCAGAAGATTGATATGGAGGTACGCCGGCGGTCGAACTACCCGAGCTACCACTGTTGACGCTGGATGCAAGAGGACTTAAGCCGTCATGCGAAACGCCGGCGGGAGGTGTTAATATATTGTTGGCGACAGCAGGAACCGGCTGGGAAGAACTGTTTGTAGTTCCGTGAATATAGTTGTTGGATTGTTGTTGATATTTGTGATGGTGCATTCCAAGGGGTTCTGGAGGGGGAAGCTGAAAGTTGGGAAGATTGGATGCGGCGGGTCGGCGAGCTGTAAAGCTGGCGGTCTCCATGATAATCGTGGTAGATTATTGAAAAGTCCACGATGAAGGATTTAAAATGATAGCGGCTTCTTACTTTTGTTCTGGGTCACCGAATTCACGTTGTCGCGTGTAAAAAGTATTTGGTTCGGACGGATAGATGCACAACCGAGGCGAGGGAACGAGGGAACAAGTAGTTAAAAATGGGGACTGGGGATATTTCCTTTCTTTCCTCACTTGTTTTTCTTTGCTTTGCTTGTGATTGTGGATGTGATGGGTGATTGTGATAGAGTGAGAGGAGAAGAAGAATCGAGCCAAAAGAAGAAACCAAAGATTACTTTGAGTCAAAGTCCGATCTTGATCTTTTTGAATAACTTAGGGAAGCCTTTGATTTTTGAATATATATGGACGGATTGGAGCCAAAAAGACGGTGGGATATTGGAGATCAAGAGATCAAGAGATCAGACAAATCTCTTGTAGGTTCGCTAGGGATGGATTTTGGTAGTGTATTTACTGGAATGGAGAATGTGGAGTTGTCGATCACCTGGATGGCGGCCGGGGAGGCGTCTGCTTGATTTATGTAGGTTATTAGGTCTGGGAAATGGTCTGTGCTCGTGGAGTAGTGTGGTGTGGTGTGGTGTGTGGACTTTCGTAGGGGTAGTGAAGTGTGGGTTGCAGATGCGTTTGGCTGGATCTCTCTTGGTCAGAGCTGGAGGGGTGAAGCAGTCTTTGTCGATTTGATTTGAGTTGATTTGATTCTCCTGGGCGACCTCGTGGTAAAGGGAATACCGCTTAGGGACGGGGGATGGGTTGGATCAAGTGAATGAATGAATAAATAGATGAATAGATAAATAGATAAATAAACAATTAAATAATTAAATAAACAAGAAATCAGTCAAAGTCGTGGGTAAATCGGAATAGATGATGGATTGGGAGAAATGTAGATGTATATAAATAATTAATTAATTAATGTAACCAGAAAATATAAATAAACTGTGTTATATTGTATTGTGTGTAGACCAATATAATAAATACGATGCGATCAACTAGAAGTCGAGCTCGCTGGTTGAAGGGTAAAAGTAAAAGGGTAAGGAGAAGGGGACTAGTATAAGGCTAGAGTAGCTCCCAGGCGTCCCAGCTATTGCCAAAATAGATAAAAAGAGAGTTTCGTGGTTTGGGGCGATTAGATTAATTTAGGGTCATATGGCTGGGTACCTCCGAGCTCTTGGGAGCTAATAAGGCTAAGTGATGATAAGTGTGCGAGGTGTGCTCAGGAAAAACTTATACTAGATTGAAAAAAGACATGGGGTCCTGCGACGGCGATTGATTGGGACCGAGAGTCGATGGAGCGAGGGATGTGGTAAGGATCGAGGGTCGAAAAGTTTAAGTGTTAGATGCTTAAGGGTTGTTGAGGAGTGATAGTAGTGGTGAAAGCAGTAGTGTAAAAGTAAGTAGCATGCGGAGTAGCTCTGGAGATTGGGCGAAGCTTCAAGGTTTCAGGTTATTGTTTCTCGATGGAGAGTAGTCCGAGGAATATTGGAGTGATAGGATTCCGTTCTAGGATAGTGTGATATTGATTTGATTTTCAAATCTTTTGCTTGGTTAGATTAGTTAGCGACGGAATGATTTGCTGGATATGACAGATTGGTAGTGATTTATGTGCAAGTACGTACACAGTCTTTGATATATCTGCGATGTTAGGTTCCTGCTTGTTGCTGATCCGGTTCTCTTCGATATTGGCTCTGGGAGGGGATATCCGGATTCCTTATGCGATGTCCAGCTGTATGTAGGAGGTATATGTAATGTCGTCCGAATATGTGGAAGAGCAACAGAGTCACAGGTAGATCGGACAAGTAGGCAAGCTGGATCCAAGATGAGATCGAATCAAGGGGTTTGTCACTTATATCATTTGAGGAAGTGACATAGGGTTGAAATTTTTAGATCTCAGATGATATGGTGTAACTACGTATCTGATGAATATAGGATCGATGGATTAGGGATCAAATTATTCTTTTCGCTTCGTCTCCTCTCGTCTCGTCTCGTCTCGTCTCTCTCTACTTTGTTCAGCAGCAGCTCTTGAAATGGAGTTGGACCCGAATTTCGACAGCTGTGCTTTGCTATGTTTCTGACGTGTTCAAGGGTTGCTACTGAATAAATTTAAAGTGCTTACGTTCTTCAGAGTTATAGAGGTATTCCGACCTAGGATGTTTCCATTCAATATTCTACTTCCTTATTCTCCTTCTGGGTAGGTATAGGCATAGATAGGTACAGCTCATCTATAAAATTGTATTGTATTACGATCGTACAGTTCGTCCTCATATTGTTTGGATATTATTTGTTCCCTTTATTTCTCCTGTAATTATTAAGTGTTTCCCATGTCTCTTTTTCCCTTCTTCCTTTCTTTTATGCGATTGACAAGGATTGCACTTGGTAAGATATGCATCACATTGCTTTTGATCGTTTCTTCGACTTTGTAGCTTATGAAAAGCTTGACTTTTCTATCATATGATGAAAAGACGGGATGAATACTGGGAGTTCTCCGTGGAGAGCATCAGAGACGGTATTGTCTAGTATTACCAATTATCGTATGGTATTGCTGAATAGCTTCACATTATCTATTGACTAGTCGCTTTCGTCCCACTGCTCTGATGGTAATCTTCGAGCTCGCTCATGCCAATATCCCCATATCAATAATCACCCCGTCGGCTCAAGTCTACGCGATTACTGAATAAGGTCTCGCCTGGGATCCAACAGTTCAACTCATCGTTCCCCATGCTCAGTTACCAGGATTTCCCCCCAGCATTTCTTTCGGGCGTATGCGAGTGTGTCCCAATGGCGTTCTGGCTGAGCTATTTAGCTCGGGCGGCTTGAAGCCAAGGCGTGTGAAAAACAGGATGAATAAGAAAAAATTAACCTTGGGAACTTGGAGGGAGAAAATGCCAGTTTGACCAGCACATTTTGATTCTAATGCTCAAATTAAGGATTTCCAGACTTCTGGCTGGTGTGAGATCAAATTGGCTGTAGCTTCTTTTTTTTTTACGATGCATATGATACGAAGAAAACTTATTAATTGGGTATTTCTCATTCGAAATGATTACCATATATTCTTAGGTATTGAGCGATTAGCCTATCTTAGAATCCTAGAATCCTAGAATCCTAGTAGTAAGCTTGGGTGGGTGTACGAAAAGTCAATAGACTAGACCCTTCAAGTCGTAACATTTATTCTCCTACGTCTTATTATTCACGTTGTACCCCAATTTTCCCGTCGTGCTTCTCTCTTGCTTCATCCTGTGCAGCATTCGGAGAATGGGAAAAGATCTGGGCATGACCATCGGACTCGAGAAATTATGCAGCCTGTAGTTACAAGACCAGGGCCATGTATGTCAGTATCGATTGCGATGATCTGGGATGTTTTCCGTCATATTTGGGAATTGTCGTATAAGTATGAGTATGAGTATATGTATGCTCTAGATTCTGTCATTTCCCAAGCGCTTCATGAACGAAACAAAAACATGGGTGGCGTCCTCGAATGTTTTTTTTCTTGGGATAATACCAAGACAATTTGGGTAGTTGTCAGAGACATGTGTAGTGAGTGACAAAAGAAAACATCCGAGATACTTTAAGCTTGAACTTCTTTAGGATAGTGTCGTGTTCGTGTCCATTCTCGATGTTCATCGATCGTATCATGATAATTATCACCATCGTTATATTTCCTTCTTCCTTCCTCTCATTCTCGGTAGTTGTGTTGAGTTACTATAAGTATTTGTATTTGTTCCTGTCCAGAAAACGCTCAGGGAGAAAGTCACTTACCTAGGTAGGGTAAGTAGGTAGGTAGGTGTTTTTGGTCTAAAACATAGGTACACAATACAAAACAACACGTCTTAGTCAAGACTCAAATATCTAAAATCTAATAAAATTTAAAAATCTTTCCTCGATACAAATGAGAAAAGAAAAGAAAAGGGCCACTCTGGAATTTTGGGATGCACTGGCCAGGGGTCTATTTGATTGGCGTCTTTAAGCTTCGGGGACCACCCACATTGATCCTCGTTTCCATGTAAGCTTGTTTTTCATGGCTTACTCACTGCTGGGATTGTTGTAGGGGGGAGGGAGAAGGGTAGGAGGTGGTGGTGTTTGAAAGAGCAAAGTAAAATGGAAACGGGTTTGGATGTGGATGTGGATGTGGATTTAGATGTGGATTTGGATTTCATTAGACGATAGGATTCATGAATAATGAGTAGTCATCAAGTTGATGATGAGTATTTTCTAAATTTTGGGTCAGATATTGTGGTAATCCTCCAAGTGTAGATCGTCGCTACTACTACATATCTTAGTATCTGACTTTGATATCTATCTTTGGTGACTTGATGACACACATCCTATTCTTGTCCATTTCTTCGATCTAACTCAACAGCGACAAAACATCCTTCGCTTCAAGCCAATGAACAAAATAACCTTTCCCCTTCTCCATCTCCCCTCAAAGTACTCAGATGACCTTGCTATGATCAGGCAGCATTTAATGATCCTGAAATATATTTCAGCTGCTCTTCTGTCGAACATCCATATACCCATCAACCAAATATCCCCAATCTATCGAAAAGACTTGGCATTCCGAGTAAACACAAACTGAAGCTGTTATACTGTACCACAATCTAATGCGTGAATTTGAACTTCAGCTCAACCCGCTAAATATACTCTTTCAGACGAGTGAATCTGAGTTTAGCGAGAGCACATAAAGATGCTACAATGTAGACAACCCCAAAAGTACAGAATACTTGATATGCAGGATCGGTGTTCAGCGATGTTCGCTCGGTGACCTTTGAGATGTTTCATTGGCTGAATCGTCTATTTTGCCTGATTGGGGTTTGGTGGGTTTGTGATGTGATTGATGGGGGGGGTCTAGATCGCTTGTTTGAATCTGTGTTCGAAATGTTTACATCTCGATTTCGATACTATCTCATATGAGTCTGAGCTTTGATGTGATATGAGAATGAGGTATTTTGCTTGATAGAGGTTCAAATGCTTTAGTTGCTTGGGATGGAAAAGAGAAGAATGTATGTGATGTATGTATATAAGTACTATGTGAGGACGGGAAAGACCGGAGTGTCCTTGTGAAGGTGCAATACACTGCCAATCAACTGAAGATGGTACCCTGCTCAAGGAAAAGTGTACACACCAACTCGCAAAAGTATCCATACAAGGCAGGTACCACAGTAACCCCCTTCAAAAGCCCAATAAGGCTATTCTCATCAGCAGGAGAGAGGTTTGTGGAATTCTCCACAGGTTCTTGGGTTCTTCTGTACCACATTTTGAAGCACAGTACCTGAATATCTGCAACACTGGTATACGCCCAGTCTTCTTCATCATTCACATGAGCACATATAAGTTAGGTAGTATTTCTCGCTATCCACTTCCACAATCATCATCCGACGGTAGAGGCGACTGAACGATCGACAGCAATAGTATGGGGGCTTCAGGTTTAATTTTGGAGTACGGTCGCTACACATCGCGGCTTACGGCTCATCCCTATCATTACCCCTACAGTGGTTCCAACAGGTAGAGTGGTCGTTCAATTCCGGGGTGAATGAAGGGGTAAATGAGAAAGCTAAGGAAAACCAAGTATTGATCAGCCTATATATTCGGATTTTACTAGGGATAGAAAAACGGGAAATCTCCAATTTGGATGGGAGTTACCATTTGACCGTTGGATATTTCTCTTTGCTCTTCCTTCATGGCATCGTTTCGGTGTGTACTCTGTAAGTACTGAAGTATCAAAATGCTAAGACGGCTATGGTTTTCTCCATTTGAACCGGAATCATACCCTGGAATACTGATGCCTAACATAAAAAAAATGTAGGAGGGGAAAACTTCCCGTTTCCTCGTATCACCAACATTCTCGAGACTCGAAGCAATCAATGTCTGGATTGATCCGATTGATCGACTCTGCTTGCATTATATCCCACTCCCGACTAGCCGTTTCTTTTTCTTTGGGGGAGGGCAAATGCCAATAAAATCACTTCTTGGAGCAAATGATGACATCGATGAACAGCAATAAATTACGACTGAATGGCTGACTACCAATAGTAGGATGATACGAGGAGGATGATTAATTACCATTATTCTGATTCTGATTACTGTACATCAATACTTACTTACCCTACCTTGAATCCCACCCAAACCAGAAATCCTTTGACCATCTAGCTACTATAGATTCGCTGTAATATACAACATCAAGATCCCTCGAGAAATTCAGCTTGCATTCGTAACTGCAACACGCTTCTCCTCTACACATTCGGTAACCGGCTGTTGCATTGCAGTCTCTCACTGCATGCTTTACATACTCTATGCATGCATGGTAAATAGAAGGGTTTGCTGGAGACATAAGCGATGCCATTCATCATGCTTCCTCTCTCAGCAGCCCTTCCCAGCAAAGCGGGTGTGGCAGATGTGGTTTTTTGAATTTTCCCACATCTGGTGGCTTTTCACCTTTCCATCGATGGCTTTTCTACAGATATTCTAAGATATACCCATGGACCTTCCAGAAGACCGACAAGGAAAAAATCGTGGGAGTGCCCGTCATGTACCACTGCATTTCGGAATCCTCCTGGATACATTACAATTAACCCACTACAGGATGCGTAATTGCGAGCGTGCCTTGCCTGTCAGGTCTGCTTACACCACCCTTCCAAACTTTGAGCTCCGAAGACTTACATGAAAATCGTCTATGATTCCCTGCTAGTGCTGCACTCTTTTTCGACTTTACTTTGAGGAGCCGCGTGCATTTCCCTATAAAAATAAGCAAGAATATGTCTTGGCGCTAGACTCTAAATGTTTTGCTAAGTACAGGTCAGGATTCACACGATGGTAGTACGAGAGTTGAGATTATTTTCTGGCACTGTAGAAGCGCTTTGATGGCGAGATGTCATAGAAGCATCCTGGGTTGCCATGTGTACTGAATGTTTATGGCTTCTAGGCTGCAATTTTGTGGACATGTTCTGGGGCAAATAGGCCTAGATGCAGATGGAGGGGTCTAATTACATACCGCTTTTCTTCGCCCCCAACAATCCTCTTCAATATAAGACTTGTGTCGGTTGATATATTGGAGATACATAATTTAGTCTTTAGCACAGATTTCATGGTTTACTTGGTTACCTAAGTAGGCGTCAAATACATCGGAGATTAGTAAAGAATTTACTAGAAATAGATACGTTCCCTAAGTACATCGGACACAGAATATAGCCGCTGCGTTGGTTACAAAGGTACCTGATACTTATGAAATGACATTTGCGGCTGCGAATAGTATTGGACTAGTACCACGGAACTAGTTCTAAGCTTGCGAGTTAGGTGGTTAGTATACCCAAGTAATTAATATCCCGATGTTGCTGTCACACTCTTTCGCTGAAGGATACATTTGTACGCCTTCAATGTGAAAAGAGGAAGGGGGAGCGAGAAAGAAAAGCCACCATTCACTGGCATGTCAATGAAGAGAAACCCACGTTCTTGGTATGGATGGAAATCATGAGATGCATTAAATTGACAGCTTAATTGCGGGGGAAAAGCTGAAAGGACGAGACACTGACAGATGCACATGGTCACTGTAACACTTCAAGGCTCATCGCTGTCGTATTCTATGTTTCCGAAATAATACTACGCTTCTATTTCAACATGTCCAAGATACACTAGCACCGTCTGGTAAAATTATGAAATCTATCCTATGACACTTTGCCGATACAAAGTAACACATTCCATATGGGTCATGCATTCAAAGGAAAATGTCAGTCTCATATTTCAAATGGAACGCCAAAAGTCAGCCGCACCGTGTATACTTGCAGAGGGCGGTAGGAAGCTTTCCGGAACACCTGATAGTGGTGGAATGGGCTGATAACGGTAAAGTATACATGATGGTGGGTGTAATATGCTACTTGCTTCAAGAAGGAATGGAAAATCGAACTCCTAATCTGACGCACATCATCCTATTTCAAGATTTCAACTCATTTGCTACCTACTGTTTATTAGTAGTGGGAATTTGGTTCGGAAGTGCAAATGCGAATTACATCTGTCCAGGCTTGCTACTTGATCGGCCCCGTGAATTCAACGGGTGGAATGATCATGCATTCCTTCTATGGAACGCCTTGTGACTTGGGAAATAGCCTCAAGTTTGTGGCTACACAGTGCTTTGAATGCCTACTAGAGAATATCCGGAATCCCCTCGATGACATTACGCAGGACCAGTTATGTAATTAGACCAAGAATGGTAATATGAGAGATGCGACAAACCATTTCTTTCAACTGATAGACTTGTGATCTTTCTAGCAGCTACCTGAGGGGGGAAAATTGGAATGCAACCAATATGCGCAGTGAACCGCAGGTTGCTTAGTCTCGTATAACTAAATTTGATGTTGCTCATATGGTAAGTGAGCTCAGAACACACGTTCCCGTACTCGAGACTAACAATTTAAAAGGAAGATGTCAACACTTGTTCCTCTGGTTATGCCGAAAAGACACTCCGTTGAAGAAATTTTCAATCTTTTCAAATAGTCAATGATGCCATCGATCACACCACACTATACATCTAATCTTCTCAACTCAGACCGTCTGCCGCTTCCATAGTGAAGGGTTTTCCTTTCGGGCACGCTACCTCAACATCTAACGAAACCGCCAAACAAGACTGGAATAGACAGTGCGGTAAACTATCGCTTCTGCTAGACTGTCGGAACGTGAAAGGAGATTCTTGTCATTGATTGGTCACTGGGAACGACCATCGGACAATTCCCATATCGATGGGATAAGTGTTTGGATCCAAGCGCTTCTCGACGTGCCAAATTATCATGCTAATGCGGAAAATTCAGAATCGTATCATCGTGCTCAACTAGCAAACTTCCATCAAACATCGAAGAATTATCACCAAGGCCGATACTAATTCCCAAAATGATATATCTCCGAACCGTTTTGCTGCAAAGCATGGAACGATCCGGACTTGATATATCATATATCATCCACCCATGTAATTTCACCTCGACTCTCCTAGTCAGCTTGCCTCGTGTCTTCAACAATCCATCAGTCTGGTACACCTACTATTGACTAGCACAGGAACAAAAAGCCTTTTAACCGGTAGGTGGCTGTTTTTGGCATTAGGAGGCTTTCGGCGTGGCCGCTAGCTAGGAAGGATATAGTATCAAGCATGCATCAACTTGTCATTACCCCAATATTTCCCTTCCACGTCCACTTTCTTCACTTGGATATTCTGCTATGTCCTTGCACTGCCCGTATTGAGAATCGTGTGCGGTATCTCTATGCACGCTTGTGAGTATCTGTACTTAGTCTCACGATAGCGTTGCCAACTAAATTCTATCGAAAACGCCGAACACACAAAACCCCCCGAACAAGACACAATCTGGAGAAAGCCCGAGCTTACTAGTGTCAGTCGTTGTTTTCCTTTTCCTCACTCTCTAGCATTTACACTTTTCGAACCTAAATTTCATGCATGCACCGTGCGGAAAGTCCGGGTCTAGATCTCAGTCGATCCATCGTGTTACGGGAGCTGCCTCTAGGGTCACGTGGAAGTGTCTAGAGATCTCTCGAGGTGGTTTAGACTAGACTTCAAGTAGGAATTCAATAAGGTTGTAACTGGTTGCAATTCTCGTAACTATAGTAATGAAACTAATGATTGTTCTTGAGCACGAAGCTCTACATTGTAATGAAACCCATTCCCTTATATAGACCTTCGTTCTCTGTGCTCAGTCGGATCACAAATGATCCTTCTGATCCGATCAACTGGATCACTAATGATCCCTCTGATCCGGTTACCTAAGCGTCGGGGTCACGTGACGTCTATTGTGGCAGACCATCGTAACACTATCCCCTTCCTAGCTTAGCGCTTGTCCCCAAGCGTTACTTATAGTGTTTACCCCACTTCTTGTAATAATGTAATGACTGATTTCTTTCTTTCATAATGCCTGTTGTTAGGACTCCCAAATCAACTGAAAATCGTGCTTGCTTGTATACCAAATTCAAAGAGAGAGGTTTTATTATGGATGATCCTTGTGCTCGTTGTTCTTCCCGCAAACTGGAATGTCGTGTTTTGTCAGAGTCTCGTCGTTGTGGTGAGTGTGTTAAAGCTGGTCTGAAGTGTGACCTTCTTCCTCCCACTGTCTCGGATTGGGATGCTTTGGAGCGCGAGGAACAACGTCTGGAAACGGAGCGCCGTGCTACTCTTTCTAAATTGATTCGCCTCGACACTCAGCAACGATCCCTTCGTGACCGTGCTGGTGCCATGTTGCGTCGTGGTCTGAAAACCTTGGATGAGCTGGATGCAGCTGAGGAAAAGGATAGGTTGGAAAATGAACGCGTTGAAAAGGAGCGGGAACACGCATCTGTTTCGACTGCTGATCCTAGCGACGACTCCTTTGCTTTCGATTCTTCTTCTTTGGATCCTTCGATCCTTGCCTCAATGGATTCTCCTTCTTTCTGGGCAAATCCGGGTATTGCTGGTGGAACGCCTCCAACTTCTCAGGGCAGTTGAGGTTTGTTCTTGGTTCCCATGAATTTTCGGTATGTGGATAGTCTAACCATTTGATCAAATATTTGATTGTGCCTCTGACGTATTTACAGTCTAGTATTGTTTCGACATCGTATATGGCGTTCGGGTTGACTGGTTCGATTTCCGTAAATGGCGCACTTGGCGCTCCTGGTGGTGCTGGTTCGAGTAAGGATATGTGAAACACTGGGTGAATATTCATCGTGTCTGGTAGTTTCAACCGATAATTAACGGTTCCTATTACCTTATCAATCTTGAATGGTCCTAGTTTCCTGTGATCGAGTTTATTGCTTGGTCTCTTGGTTTCGATGTTTCGTCGTAGCAGATAAACTTTATCCCCCTCTTTAAGCGTAGGTTCCATACTACGTTTCGTATTGTAGTACGCTGCTGTTCTGGAAGATATGAATCTTAGATCAAGAGCAAGCTGCTCTTGTAAATCCTTTAATTGTTCGACTTGTATTATTGCTGATTCGGCATTAACTTCCTGTGGTATCGGTGTTTGGTATGCTTTAGGATTAAACCCAAAGTTCGCGCGTGCTGGTGTAATCTTTGTGGTTTCCGTTTCCGATGTGTTATATGCGAATTGTGCCATAGGTAATAGCTCTACCCAATTGTCCTGTCGATAATTTATGTAGCATCTAAGATATGCTTCCATTGTCTGATTGGTCCTCTCTGTCTGACCATCGGTTTGTGGGTGAAAGGCTGTTGATAGTTTTCTTTTAACACCCATTAGTGCTAATAAGGTAGTCCAGAATTTCGAGGTAAAGAGCTTGTCTCTGTCCGAGATTATCTCATCTGGTACTCCATGTATGCTTACTATGACCCTAAAGAATACATATGCTAGTTGCTCAGCAGTCCATGTTTCTTTGAATGGTATCATGTATGCAAATTTTGTCAATCTGTCTACTACGTTGAGTATTGCGTCGTACTCAACTCCTGTAGTAGGGTCTTTCGAGAGTGGTAGTTTGACCACAAAGTCCCATGTAATGGACTTCCATGGCTGAGAAGGCATGTCTGGGGTCTGGAGCTGACCATACGGAGCGTGTCTAGAGGACTTATTCCGTATGCAGGTATCGCAATTTCCAACAACTTCTTCAACTATCGTTCTCATTCGTGGGAAGTAACTGATTTCCCGTAATCTTGCGAATGTTCTCGCGATTCCCTGATGTCCATGTGCCGGCAACCCGTGTTGTTCCGTCACGAATTCCTTAGTCATTCGACTAGGAATGTATACTTTTCCGTGGAAGTATATGATCTCGTTTTCTATCGTGAATCCTGGTTCTATTGTCTTGCGTATGCGTATAGCTGTAGCATCCTTGTCGTAATGTGATTGGATTTGACTCCTGAGATGGTTGTCTTCCAATATATGAGTAGCTGCAAGCTGTGGTGCATTGTAAACCAGTGATTCGCCTTCTTTCTTGAATATAGCGTACGATTCGTACGACTTATTTTCTTGATATTCTGGTTTTCGGCTAAGAGCGTCGGCTCTAGCGTTTTCTGATCCTTTGACATATGAAATCTTAAAATTGTAGTTGGCCATGGTTTCCGACCATCTGACCTGTCGTCTGTTTAACTGCTTCGTTGTGGTGAAGTAAACCAAGTTCTTATGATCCGTATACACCTGTACTGTGTATTTTGATCCTTCCAAATATACTCGCCATTCTCTAAATGCGTCGACTATCGCCAGTAATTCTTTGTCATATATTTCGTAGTTCAATTCGGCTGGTGATAGCTTTCGAGAGTAGAATGCGATTGGTTGCTATTTCTCATTTTGACCTGGTTGGCTCAACACTGCGCCTATAGCAAAATCTGAGGAATCCGTTTCCACTATGATTGGCTTCTCAGGATCGAATGTTAACAGTATTGGCTCCTCGGCCACTGCTTGTTTGAGCGTCTCGAATGACTCCTGCGCCTTGGCGGTCCATTCGAAGCTCCCTTGCTCTTTTCTTGTTAAATTGGTTAAGGGTGTTGTGATCCCTGAATAACCTTTAATAAATCTTCGATAGAAGTTGACGAATCCTAAAAAAGATTGTACTTCCTTAACTGTGGTAGGCTGCTTCCATTCGAGCACTGCCTTAACCTTGTCCTTGCTCATCTTGAGCCCTTGGTTCGATACGGTGAATCCCAAAAACTCTGTTTCTGTAACGTGGAATTCGCATTTGCTTGGCTTGCACAGCAAATCTGCCTTGGCTAAGCTTTCGAGAATGTTGCTGACATCTTTGGTGTGTTGGACCTCGTTGTTTGAATATACTAGGATATCGTCCAAGTAGCATATACAACAGGTGTCCAAGTATTGTGACAGCACATTGTTCATAAGTCTCATGAAAGTAGCTGGTGCGTTAGTTAGCCCGAAAGGCATAACTTGATATTCGTATAGCCCGTATCTTGTCTTAAAAGCGGTCTTCCATTCTTCGCCTTCCTTCATTCTAATCAAGTGGTACCCGTTCTGTAGGTCCATCTTGGTAAATATTGTTGCTCCGCCTAATCGATCTCTTAGTTCCGTAGCTAATGGAAGTGGATATCGATCCTTTTTGGTAAGCGTGTTGAGCTTTCTGTAGTCCACAACTAGTCTCTTAGTACCATCCTTCTTGGGTACCCACATAGTTGGACTTGCCACTTGGGACGTGGATTCCCTGATCCATCCCTTGGCCAAATTGTCATCGATATATTCCCTGAGCGTCTTCAGCTCATCGGCTGACATTGAATAAATTGGGGTGTGCACAGGCATCTTGCCTTCCTCCAATATTATCTCATGATCCCATGGCTTGTGTTCTGGCAAAGCCTCATGGATCCCTGGTTCCTTGAACACATGTTCGTATTTCTTGTACTGTTCTGGTATCATAGGCTCTTCTGCCTTGATTGCGATTTCCTGCCGTGTCGTTGGCTTCTGCATTTGTAGAGGAGGTGTACTGGCCTTCGCTCTTAATGGAGGACCCTGGACTGGGTGTCCTACGTCGCCGGTGTTGTTCGCGTTCAACTCTCCTTGGCGCGTGTTACGTCTCGCGGACGCCTTGAACGTGTCGTCGTGACCGTTCTTGCACTGATCAAATGTCACTGTTTCTTGTGACCAATCTATTCTAGGGTTGTGTGCCTTCAACCATGGCATCCCTAAGATGATCTGTTGTTGGCCCAATGGCACAACGTCAAGCTGTATAACCTCTGAGTGTTGGGTTATGCTCATTCGTACTGGTCGTGTCTCTTGTGAAACGTTCCCGTCAGATCCTGCTAGCTGCCCGTCAACTAACTGCAATTGGTAGGGGTTTTGTTTCTTCTGGAGTGGGACTCCCAAGTACTTTGCAGCTTCTGGTGCAATAAAATTTCCTGTAGCCCCTGAATCTATCATGGCTTGCTGTATTTGTCCGTTTATTTTGACCTTGCAGTATATCTGTCCTGCTTGTCCTGTAGCATTCAGCTGTGGTGTAATTTGCTCATTCTCGTTATTCTGGATGATCTCATCGGCAAATGTTACACGTCGAGGCTCTTCCTCTTCTAGATAGACAGCGTTCGTTCCTGATCTAGTTTTATCATCGAGTAAGTCTTTCCATAAGGTGTATCGGGAGGTTCCTCGAGTTACTCTCATTATTGTACCCACGACTGGTGGTGGTAATATGGCCTGGGCTTGGACACAATATTCTCCTCCAACTTTTCTACAAAGAAACAGAGTCTGGCTCTCATTTCTCTCAGATATATGGTAGTAGAATACTTCCCATAGCTCCCCTTGGCCTGGACATTGAAGGTGTTCTTCACTAATTCTTTCCACGAAGGATGTGTTTGTAGTGATCCCGAACCATAGGATTCGGTGCTGGTCGATGTACCGAACCTCGTAGGATTCACCCTCCTCAGCGTCTGCTACACTGAGGTCATAGTTGATGGTTCCTTCATCGGTATTCTCAAATCTCCAGATACGACGGTTCCATTGGTCAATTTCTCGAATGGACCATGATTCCCCTAACTGCGGGTCCCTGTTTACCCATGAGAGGCCCTCGACCTCTTCTTCTTCGAGCTCTTCTTCGTAAGCTGGTGGTGGCGTGGCTAGCCCTGTCATGCTAACAGCACATAATTGTGGCGTGAAGGTGGCATTAAGTTGGCCC